ACCTGTTTACCAGCTGACCTGTTAACCAACTGACCTGTTTACCAGCTTACCTGTTCACCAGGTGACCTACTCACTAGCTCACCGGTTAACCAGGTGACCTGTTCACCAGCTCACCTGTTCACAAGCTGACCTGTTTACAAACGGACCTGCTCACCAGCTCACCTGTTGACCAGCTCAAATGTTCACCAGGTGACCTGTTTACAAACTGACCTGTTCACCATCTCACCTGTTAACCAGCTCAAATGTTCACTAGGTGACCTGTTCACCAGGTGACCTGTTCACAAGCTGACCTGTTTACAAACTGACCTGTTCACCAGCTCACCTGTTAACCAGCTCACCTGTTGACCAGCTCAAATGTTCACCAGGTGACCTGTTCACTAGCTCCCCTGTTCACAGACTGACCTGTTAACCAACTGACCTGTTAACCAACTGACCTGTTAACCATCTGACCTACTCACCAGCTCACCGGTTCACCACCTCGTCTGTTCAACCGCTCACCTGTTCACCAGCTCACCTGTTCACCAGCTCAGCTGTTCACCAGGTGACCTGTTCACCAGCTAACCTGTTCACCAACTAACCTATTTATCATCTCACCTGTTCACCAGCTCACCTGTGGTAAGTCCCAGTGGTACAGCGTGACGATGGGAGTGATCTGATTCTCCAGCAGCATGTTGATCAGGGCGTCATAATATTTGATTCCTCTTTCATTGATTTGTTCACCTGCAGGAGTAAAAAAACATAGCAGCCATTTTGAATCTGATTATTTGACCTCCATCCAAATCAGATATGCTGCAAACTGAGGAGACAGGAACTAAAACATAGGAACTAAAACACAGGAACTAAATCACAAGGACTAAAACATAACAGGAACTAAAACACAGACCAAAAAACAGGAACTAAATCACACAGACTAAAATATAGGAACTAAAACATGGGGACTAAAACATTGGAACTAAAACACAGGAACTAAAACACAGGGACCAAAACACAGGAACTAAAACACAGAAACTAAAACACATGAACTGAAACAGGAACTAAAACACAGGAACTAAAACACAGAAACTAAAACACATGAACTGAAACAGGAAATAAAACACAGGAAATAAAACACAGAAACTAAAACACATTAACTGAAACAGGAACTAAAACACATTGACTAAAACACGCGAACCAAATCAAAGGAACTAAAACGCAGAAACTGAAGCACAGTAACCAAAAAAAAACACAGATTTGGAAAGAACCGTTGGTTAAATTTTCAGAAATCTTTTGTGAAAACGAGGTTTAGATGCTTTTTCTGGGTAGAAACAGACTACTGCACACTAACAGTGAAGAAAACAACAACTAAAACAAGTGTGTTTTACTTCTCAGTCCGTTGGGCAGAATCCTGGGCCAGGAGATGGAGAACCGATAGTGATTCAGCTTCAGGTCCTTCATCAGGTTAATGTCATCCTAAAAAAGAGGCCATTTTTAAATCAGTGATTTCAGAAAATTCTGAATTCAGAGGACCAATTAGTACAGATTGTTGCTGTTTCTGTTGTCTTTCTCTTCATTCCATGGACAGGAAACTGCTTGATCGGCACATAAATCTGGCAAAAATTGAAGAATACCAAATCTTTTAGTTGATGTATACAGCAGAACCCCTACATACGAATCCAACTGGTTCCAGGACCGACTTCGTATGTTCAAATATTGGTATGTTGGTTCAAATTTTCCCATCTGAATACACTGTAATTCCTATAATTGGTTCCAAAAACCTACGATAACTCCTTAATGAATACTGCAGATAATTACACATAGCAATAAAACAAATGACTTATAGAAGAGAGATGTAAAAAGAAATAAATGATAAAGAAATAATCAATAAAAAGGTTTTTTATTGGCCCTTTACCTCAGAGACTGAATGTAGGTAGAGGTGGAGACTGAGATACAGGACGTACCCTAACTTACTCTGACTTTCACTATCTGAACTTTAACCAATTTAGCTTTTTTATTAAATTTATATACATATATGTTTTTTTTAATGACTTCAACGTATGTTGGAAATTTACTTCGGGTGTCAAATCAAATATTTCATCAAATTTCACTTCGGATGTTGGAAAATTGGTATGTTTAGGCATCAGAAGTAGAGGTTGTGCTGTACATATAAAATCTAATAAACATCGTTGTTTGACAGAATGCTCTAAAAGCCTGTCCGCCTGCTGAATGTGTCCCTAAAAGTAAAGTTTCTACAAAGATGAGCTCCTGGTTGGGAGGTCACCGAGTTTGACCTTGGAGGCCCACCTTGACCTTGAAGTAGCTCTCGCAGGAGGAGTCGCCCGTGTCGTTGGAGAGGATTTTCCCCTTTTTGTGGGCAAAAGCGTCCCAGATGCTCATCCCTTTTCCGTCTATGTTCCAGGCTCCCTCCGTCTGGTAGGCAGAGCTGCCGGCCCCCCAGGAGAAGCCTGCAGGGGGGCACACAACCGGGCATTTAGGCTCCGCCTCTGCCTTTCAACCCCCGAGAGCCCCCAGTCACAACCTAGTTACAGTAAAACACATTTTTAGTTAAAAAGTGGTCAATGAAACTTATGGAATTTAAAATTCTTTAACATCTTGTGGTGGTACCTGTTTTTTTTTAAATGAGATTACTGGGGATAATTGGTCATCTTTTAAATTCCCTTCAGTTTATATTTGGGGCAAAAGGGTCTGACTAGTACGGGTTAAAGTGAATGAATGAATGAATAGATAGATAGATAGATAGATAGATAGATAGATAGATAGATAGATAGATAGATAGATAGATAGATAGATAGATAGATAGATAGATAGATAGATAGATAGATAGATAGATAGATAGATAGATAGATAGATAGATAGATAGATAGATA